CGATAAGGATGCTTTGGATGATATGGAAGCTATCTTTGGAAATGGCGAGGATTACGACTGGGCTCTTGCTTTGGAGGATGAAGCTGAGGCAGCCGAAGCTGGGGACCAGAACCTTGAACTCAAGGATGTCTTTGAACCTTCGCAGCTCGCGGAGAAGTTACTTACAGATGAGGATAACTTTATTCGGTACTCCGATGAACCGGAACGATTCCAGCTCGATCGAAAACCTTACAAGCATTTACAAATCACCGACGAACAATTCAAAGAGGAAGCTCGATGGATCACAAGTCTCATTTGGCCAAAAAAGAACTTCAACGGAGATATGCAAGCTCCATTCACCAAAGCTATTAGCAAAGTCTTGGAGTTCTTTGTTGTGGATGAAGTCGAAGTTCCCTATGTGTTCCAACATCGAAAGGATTATCTCATCCATGCCAGAAAAAATAAAACGCGATCGGATAACCCAGATGCGCCTGAATACGAAGTAAGCGCAGACAAGCTCCTGAACCAAGACGACCTCTGGCGCATTTTGGAACTCGACTTGAAGTTTAGGGCACTGATCGAGAAGCGTAACGTTCTAGACAAGACCTATGAGAACTTAAAGTTGTCCGTTGGTATCAGTGATGCAACCTTCGAGCAAATGTTACCGGACGCCCAAACTATGGAAGAGCTTCAAGATATTCAGGATTACCTGTATTTTCAATACTCCTCGGAAATCAAGTCTCTGCAGGATGCCAACGGTGAAGTCAAAGAAAAGCGAGCTGGCAACAAAGCATCAAGATTTGATCGTGTTCGTAAAAGCAGGGCTTATGAACTCGTGCGAGCTTATGGAATCACGGCCGACGAGGTTGCTGGAAATGTTTTGATGGAAGGCCGCAAAAAATACACAGAAGATCCTCCTTTGAGCCCAATTGATCTCGCCGATACTCTCGCTAGCCCAGAAGATTTCCCTACCGGCGATGGTGTTTTGGTAGCAGCACGAAGCTTATTCGCCGAGGAACTTTTTATGAGCCCAAAGATGCGCCAGCATTTCAGAAAGCATCATTATATGCAAGGACTCGTCAGCTGTGCTAGAACCGATAAAGGTCTCAAAAAGATTGATGAACAACACCCTTACTATGAACTGAAATATCTCAGGAACCAGACTTTCATGGACATTGCAAGCAAGCCTGAAATGTTTTTGAAGATGTTGAAAGCCGAGGAAGAAGGATTACTAGAGGTTCGAGTTTCTCTCCAAAACGAACGCGATTTCAGAAAACAACTCTTTGCGGAGTTCAGGTCCGACAACTACAGTGAGGTCGCTGATGCGTGGAACGATGAAAGACAGAAAGTTCTCGACATAGCATTTTCGAAGCTTGAAAGGACTATCACCAAAGGAGTAAAAGAAAGCATGCGAACAGAGTGCCAAGATTCTATCCTTAAAATCTGTCGAGAAGAATACTCGAGAAAGCTTGACCAGGCGCCATACAAGCCGCGAGGCATGGTTCTGGGTACTATTCCTCGAGTGCTTGCTCTATCTAATGGTAATGGTGACCCCAATCGTGATGCCGTCTGCTGGGCCTACGTTGAAGAAGACGGTCGGGTTCTGGACCATGGAAAGTTCGACAATCTTTCCAGAGACCAGAGAGCTAGGGAAGCATTTGTCGATTTGGTGCGCAGGAAGAAACCCGATGTTCTTGGAGTTAGTGGTTTCTCTGTCGAAACTCATAAGCTTGTATCGAGTCTCAAAGAATTGGTGCAGGAACACTCTCTACGAGGAAATGAGTTTGATAATGAAGATGGTGATGGTGAGCGAAGTGAGCCTCTAGATATTATCGTCGTAAATGACGAAGTTGCTCGACTTTATAAAGACAGCCCAAGAGCTGCTGTCGATCACCCTGCATTTGCTCCACTCGCTAGGTATTGTGTTGGCTTGGCCAAATATCTCCAGAACCCAATGAAAGAGTACGCAGCTCTTGGAAAGGACATTATTTCATTATCATTCCACCCATCTCAACAGTTGCTGCCGGAGGATAAGCTTCGAAGACAATTGGAGACTGCAATGGTTGATATGGTCAATCTTTGTGGTGTCAATATCAACGAAGCGGTCAATGACGCTTACACAGCAAACCTTTTACCTTTTATCTGTGGTCTTGGTCCTCGAAAGGCTACCGCTGTTCTGAAATCTATCAATGCCAATGGTGGAGTGGTGAATACTCGTGAAGAACTTGTGGGTGATCCGGACAACAACAAATTGCCAGTTGTAGGTCCAAGAGTTTGGAACAACTGTGCTAGTTTCCTATACATGGAGTACGAAAGCGCAAATCCTGCGTCTGACTATCTTGACAATACCCGTGTGCATCCAGAGGACTACGAACTCGGTAGGAAGATGGCAGCCGATGCACTCGAACTTGATGAAGAAGACGTCAAGGCAGAAGTAGACGAGGGAGGACCAGGAGCCATTGTCCGGAAGCTCATCAAGGACGATGAGCAGGAGAAGGTGAACGACCTGATTCTTGAAGAGTATGCCGATCAATTGGAGAAAAATTACAATCAACGCAAACGTGCAACGCTCGAGACTATTCGCGCTGAGTTGTTGGCGCCATACGAAGAATTGCGTCGCAACTTTGGCATGTTGTCTGATGACGAAATTTTTACCATGTTGACTGGAGAAACTCACGAGTCGTTATGCGAAGGCATGATTGTATCTGTCAACATCAGAGTGGCAAAGGATGACTTCATTATCGCTAAGCTGGATTCTGGAATCGAAGGCCGTGTCGAGAAAGACGATGGCTCAGATAATTCCAACGCCTCTTTGAACCGTCTATTTTCCGTGGGCCAAACTGCTCAAGCTAAGTTGCTTGACGTTGATCGACGAAATTTTTCTGCCAGATTATCACTACGCGAGTCACAAATGCGACCATACAGGAGACGCATTGACCGCGATATTAGTACCTGGGATATACATCAAGAGCAAAAAGATAGAGAGGAGCTCCGCGAGAAAGACAAGGCCACAGGTCGCGTTCAAAGAGTTGTCAAGCATCCTCTCTTCAGACCATTCAATGCCACCCAAGCGGAGGAATATCTCGGATCACAAGCCCCTGGAGATGCTGTTATTCGCCCTTCATCAAAGGGAAATGACCATCTAGCAGTTACATGGAAAGTCGCCGATGGCGTATATCAGCACCTCGATGTATTAGAGTTACAAAAGGAGAATGAGTTCTCACTTGGTCGACAATTGAGAATCAACAACAAATACAACTACAGTGATCTTGACGAATTGATCGTGGATCACGTTAAGGCTATGTCCAAGAAAGTTGAAGAGATGATGCTGCATGAAAAATTCCAAAAAGGCAGCAGAACCGACACGGGTAAGATTACTTCTTTCGATTATGATAATGATAAATGTACTGACTTCATTCTTAGAACGTTGGTTGACAACCTACACGGAGGCCAATCCCAAGCGATCTGTGTATGCTTTCTGTCTCGATACGAGACATCCTGGGTATTTCCATTTGTGCTTCAAAGCTGGTCAACAAGCGCGCGTTAATTCATGGGCCGTGCGGATCGTTCCCAATGCTTTTGAATTATTAAAGAGTCAATACCCCGATATGAAGGCATTGTGTAATGGATTCAAACTGCGCCACACAGCGGAAATGAATCGAAGATGATGAGGGGTGGGATTTTTCTTGAGGTTAGTGAGCTGAAGGGGGCTGAGGGATAAATCTGATAGACGAGCTACGATGCATCTTTCTACAACATGTAACAAAAGTTCTCGGGGTTTCATAACTTTAGCATTCAAAGGGGTTAAAAATGGACAGGAGCACTATCTATTGGCCTAGAAGCTAGGCAAAATTCGAGCCAAGTTTATAAGAAGTAATTAATTTATACCTACCCAATACCTATTTACATACATAGTACTTCTAGGAAAAGATAGAACAGAATTAGTCTTTGGTTGAATTTCTTGATCCTGCTAATTATATAACCTTTCTCTCTTGCAATTAATGATTTCTTATGCACTATCAATCCCTGAGCTTACTTGAAGTAGTCTCACCAATTCCATAAGCTCGGCGATTATTCATTTACCTAGGATTTGTTGGTATCTTACATGTACTGACTGCACGACGTTAGGTTAATCTTATTACTAGGGATACATAAATTTGTGCTAGAGACGTGTCAAACAAACAACAAGGCTGAGATTAGCCAGAATGACATCTTGACAATTGATCGGTTGTCGTATTTGATACGTAGGTACCTATGTATTTGATAGAGCTTTATTAGCCTCTAGCTCGCTCGGCTTTGGAGATGGTGTAACGGGATGAATGGGGTGTAACCCTGTCTTGGTTTACTCTGCATGATGGCCGGATGATTTACGTAGCCTTTTGGAGAATTTTCTTACTTACCTACACAACCTTACTGGTTGGTTCCTTGAGATATATTGATTTCCAAGGTTCACCAGTTGTTTTGTTATTTCTTCTTGATTTTCATAAATCAATCATAATTTCCTTTCACTCAATGCATCTCCAAACAATCAATTCATAAAAGTGGTGCATGGACCGTTGAGCCGCTGACAGCAAAAGCCCAGCCTTAAGCCAGCCTTCAAGACCAGGTCGAATGCTATTCCAGGGATTACCTACGTAAGAAAGTTATCAAACAAGTAAACATCAGCAAGCATCCGCAAGAAAACCATCCGCGAGCATAGCACAGTAATAAAACCCAATATACGAACGAACAAATGGGATGAACTTTCGTACCGAATACGTGGAATCATCAAAGACGAAACTCTCATTGATTACCTATTGAGGATATCTATGAAGGGAGATCCTAACCTGGCTCCCAATCTCAACACTTCTCCACTTCAAGTTAACATTCTTAATCTGCATTGATTTCCTGGAGTACTCGACCTTCCTAGATATTCCCTTTCCTGCCACGACCAATTCTCAATCAACTTTGAACAACTTCCCCATTTCTCGGAATATTCGGATGAGCCATCAAACGGAAGAAAGGCAATAAAGTAGAGCGCGATGGCCGGCATGGAGCAATTAGAAATTCATAGCAAGGTATGTGTAGTACATGACGTGGATAGTACTATTGTCTAATAGATTTATGCAGTCGTATATTGTTCGATGGGTCAAGGTTGAGGAGAAACACACAATCTCATGGAGTGTTCAACCGCACAAAAAGTCCATGTGGGATAGCTCTATTTTCTAATTTTAGATTGTATTATTGACTATAACAGAAACTTTGGAATTGTCAAGCACCCAGGAACAGGGTCATCAACCAGTGTAGCCTCCACCCCGCGACAACCCAATTTCGACGATGCCGTTCATTCCCTTCATCCAGATTCTAGTTCGCAGAGAAGACTATCCGCTACCACCGATTCGAGAAACGATTCTTCCACCGCACAAGACCAGTTGAAAGCAAAAGGTTTCATATTAGTTGAATGGTGTGGGAAATGCGAAGCAGACAAGGTATCCATGGGCACATTCGCGGTGCCGGTGGGTCATGGGGGAATGTACGGCTTGGTATTCGACAATACATTCTCGAAACAAATATCGAAGACTGCCACTTTCGTTCTTCTGACATATCCATCTAATTCCCCTCCCCATTCGAGCAATCTCCAAAAGCTACAGGGTCTGGATGGTTCGCATGCACAGAACAGCAGAAAGCCAAGTCCAAATCTCTCAACCGCAGCTTCGGAGTCCGTTGAAAGTTTACAGAGTACGGCGATGGGCAGAGGTGCTAGTAGAGGTTCTATGATTAGCAGGAATGATAGTGAAGGTGGCTTTTCAAGCTACCATGTAGGTGTTTTACAAAAGAGAAGAAGAAAGAAGGGACAAGGCTATGCTCGCAGATTCTTCTCTCTGGATTTCGCAAGTTGCACTCTATCCTATTACTATAGTCGCAATTCGTCGGCACTTCGAGGAGCCATTCCATTAAGTTTAGCTGCGATTGCAGCAGATGAGAGGAGGAGAGAAATCAACATCGATTCTGGTGCTGAAATCTGGCATTTGAAAGCAAACAACGCCAAGGATTTCGAGGAATGGACCAAAGCTTTGGAGAAGGCTAGCAATAATGCTAGAGGCCCTATCGGAGGGGTCGAATTGGAATCAATTCCAACACCGAATGTGGGATTGCAAATCAGGACCAGCTATCTACAGGTCCCATCAAATAAAGAAGAAGAAAATGAATGGGTTCAGATTGAAGGTCTTGTGAGTAGGATTGTAGGAACTAGGGATGCTGTTCGTAGATTATCGAAGGATACCGCCACACCAAATAGGCGACACTCACATCTTCTTGGGGCACCTTCCGGAAGTCCTCTCGTCGAAGAAAGTGCTGACTATTTTGCTCCTCAAACCAACCAAACCAGTCAAACGAATGAAAAGAGACCTTTTTGGAAACGAAAGCCGAGTACACCCGCACCTGGTACACCGACAACGATGCAACGCGGTGTGACCGCACAACTTGCAGTTCCAGTGCCCGCGGCAGCGTCTGCTGTTAGTGAGATCGATGTAAATGGCTCAACCCCCCGAAAATCGCGTACTTCACATGAAGAACAGAACATTCATGACCATTGCACATCTTTACTCAAGGATCTAGACGCAGTTCTCTCAGACTTTCAAACTTTGATAGCTAGCAGTAAACGTCGCCGTGCATCAAATGCTGCACCTATGTCTGCTAGGTCTACACACAGTATAGAATCAGCTTCTACAGGAGAATTTTATGACGCAGAGGCTGGAGATCCGGACCATTCACAGGTTATGATCATCAATCGCAAGAGTGGGGAAGAAGAAACTATAAATTCAGAAACAGAAGAGGAGAAGGATGATTGTGGTGCTTCTACGTCTTCTAGTGGAGGAAGTGAAGAAGTCGAACATGTGAATGGTGCAGCAGCACTATTCCCAATCAAGCCCAAAAATCTAGATCCTTTACCAATCAAGGCAGCACCAAAACGTCGAAAAGCTATTCCACCTGCAACAGTTATGCCTCCCAGTTTGATCGGATTCCTTAGAAAGAACGTGGGTAAAGATTTGAGTACTATCAGTATGCCAGTCTCAGCCAATGAACCTCTATCGTTATTACAACGCGTGGCAGAACAGCTTGAATATTGCAACCTCTTGAATACAGCCGCAGATCAAAAGGATCCGATAAAAAGATTGTTACATGTAGCAGCATTTGCAGTATCACAGTTTAGTAATAATCGAGCTAGAGAGCGTGCTATTCGTAAACCTTTTAATCCTATGCTAGGAGAAACTTTCGAGCTTGTGAGAAGCGATCAAGAAGTTCCGGGAGGGTTTAGACTGTTGGTGGAAAAAGTCTCGCATCGTCCGGTTCGGATGGCTTGTCAAGCCGATTCGGCTAAATGGTCATTGGGACAGTCGCCAGCTCCAACCCAAAAGTTCTGGGGGAAATCGGCGGAACTTATTACAGATGGTCGTGTAAGAATGGTTCTGAGACTTCCGGATGGTATTGAAGAAAGATATACTTGGAATGTGGCGACTGTGTTTTTGAGAAATGTAGTGATGGGGGAAAAATACGTGGAACCGGTCGGAAACATGACGGTTACGAATGAAAGTACAGGAGCAAAAGCCTTGGTAGAATTTAAACAAAAGGGTATGTTTGGAGGTAGAAGCGAAGATGTAGGCGTGGAAGCATATGATGGGGAAGGAAAACATACGGGGATTAGTCTCCAGGGAAACTGGACCAGTTCGCTCAAACTGGTCGAAGCGGGACGTTCCGGGACGGAGATCTGGAAAGTGGGAGAGCTGGTGGATCATGCGGCGAGCTGTTATGGGTTGACGACCTTTGCGGCGCAACTTAATGAAATTACGGAGATTGAGATGGGGAAGTTGGCGCAGACGGATAGTAGGTTGAGGCCGGATCAGAGGGCTGCCGAGGGCGGGAGGTTGGATGAGGCGGAAGATGTTAAGGCGAAGTTAGAGGAGGCGCAGCGTAGGAGGAGGAGGAGTATGGAGGAGAGGGGGGAACAGTGGAGGGCGAAGTGGTTTGTTAAGGTTGAGGGGGGTGTGGAGGAAGAAGGGGAAGAGGTGTGGGGATTGAAGGGAGGGAAGGATGGGTATTGGGAAGAGAGGGAGAGGGTTGCGAGGGGAGAGGGAGGATGGAAGGGAGAGAGTGTTTTTGAGGTTTAGAATGGAGATGGATGGAAATCTTGGTGTTGATGTTGATGTAGTTAGGGAATAGATTTCAACATTGATTATGAATGAAAGAATAGAATACCTAGGAATAGGAATAAGAATATGAGATCAATCTACACATCTGATAATTCAGCGCAAATATTGTAGTGGATAACTTTATTGGTTTTCTACTCCACATAGATAATGCATGCATGCATGCTAATGAATCAAGTCTGTCTGTCTGTCTGTCGGACCATCTAATTCGACCTAAAAACTTAGAAACCCGCTCTTGAATTCCGACTTACGTGAGTCAAGAATTCTTTCTTTCTTTCTTTCTTTCTTTCTTTCTTTCTTTCTTTCTTTCTTCCTTCTCCATCTCATCGTCCAAAAATTGTCGACTCGGTGAAGAAAAAAAAGGGGGGTATATCAAATACCACAAAGCATCGCCGACCTAAAACCGCTCGCTCTCTCGGAAAAGAAAAAATCCCAAACTTTTTCCCTTCCGTCCTTCATGACCTTTACCTAAACTGATGTCCATAAACTCCTTGTTGCTGGTATCATTCATGACAAGATAGATACCTTTCAAACCCATGCATGCGTACGCAGAAAGACCGCCCGAAGAAGATTGGATCCGATGGGAATCGGAGAAAGAAATAAATGCTGTAAATCGTTGCTGCGTGAATAAAATGAGAGAATGAAGAGTTGGTCCTCTCACTGAATCGACCATGCAATTTGAGTCATCTAGTTTTTAGTGATTAATGCACTGTTGCTTTGGTTAGTATACTGTGTAGAGGCAAAGAGTGAAGTGATGAATACTCACGGTAGACTTTGCAAGACAACCTCATTATGCTGATAATGGGTCATGAAACCACCCCCTAGAACTCTTCTCAGAGACTGTAGTCTATGTAATTTCCACCACTTATCAATTTTCATGACTCCACTCTTATGAATGCGAACAAACATTCGAGATCCTAGTAAGTGGCCATTCTCATCGATAACATTTGAGTATCTAGGTCCTCGAACTGGGTATTTGACTGTCGCTAAAACATCTCCAAAGGTGGCATGTAATGTTTTTCGGTCTTTCTTGGATATAGATTTCGATGAGGCTTTTGCTAACTCTCCAAGTGTATGTTCGAGTTGATGCCTTTGACGCCATGGCTCGTAGCGTTTTACTTGGCTGACATCGAGAGGGAAACCATGCTCATCTACCTTCTCGTTCTCGCTGGCCTCAGGATCGTCCGATTCTCGTGGTGTGTAACTTTTTTCGTAGATTATGGCGATGTTCTCTCCAGCGGCAATTTGAACTGATGTTGAGGAACTTTCTAATTGGTCGACAAATGCCTCCATCGCTGCCTCGGACTTTTCTTCCAAATCATCCACAAAGGTAGCTAAACTGCCCCATTCTTCGCATGCTGCTGTAACAACTTCCGGACTGTCGGGAGCGTCTACTGAATTGCCATCAGATTCGACTATTTCCAGGAATTCATCCATAATATCATTGATTTCTGTCTCGGATGCGCCACCGTAGGTTGCTAATGCAGCGATTGCTCGTATAGCTGCAGCTTTGACAGTAACATGCTCTGATCTTTGGTAGGCTTGTTTGAGAGATCGAAATATATCTTCGTAAACGTCGTCGGAAGGGCAAGTAATGATTGTAAGGCCAATAGCTGCGACAAGATTAGAAAAAGATACCCATAAATTATATGATGATGATAGCGCATACCTCTCAATGCCAAACAAGCTTCCTTCTCTCCCGTGTCGGCTTTGATACTTTTGCACAAAGCAGGATATAATTCTGCGACTTTACTTTCGATTTCGTCGTAACAATATCTAATCATGAGATAATGATTATATGCCATTAAAGCACGTTCTCGACCCTCCTCGCTGCTTCTTTTCCGATCCACGATTTCCTCAATGCGATCACTTAATTCTTGATCCCAGACATCGGATGTTTCTTGGGGTTCTGGCGCATCGAGCATATCGTCAACGGAATTAACACTGGAAGAATGTGTGAGCATAAAGGTCAAGTTGTGAGTAAAAGGGTGCATCTTACCTCCATGTTGTACTATCATCATCGCTCATATTTCCATCATCCTCATCCGAGCCGTGGCGACTGACATTTCGCGAATTCGTTTTTGAATTCACGGTTGATACTGGTTTCGAACCTACACGCGATGCAGCTTTTTTGGATACCGTCTTATGACTTTCCAGTACTCTTCTTCGTAAATCTCTCGTCATTTTGAACGAGAGTTGCGCAGTGTTTGTGTATGTGGTGGTTGTGAGGTTGTGAGGTTGTGAAGTTGTGAATGTGAATACCTATGTTTGTGATTCTTCGTTCTTCCCAGAGTACCTAGTGCTTGCTTGACTCGGCTTAGACAATGAGAATGTTGCGAGGACTTGGGATAAATATTTGTAAGGTTATTCTTTTGATAGGCTTGCACCGATTGATTTAAATAGAAACAAAATTTCAGAAATGTCTCTCTTCCATACAGGATCTTTATGAGTCATAAAGTCAGAAAATGATCAATTGTGAATCAAGAAATATTTTGAGTGTAATTTTTTTTAGCCTATGATGAAATACATCTTGTGAATAGGATATATAGCTAATAAGGTGGAAGTGCATCCCGTCCAGTGAATCAGGATTATCGAATTATTCAAGCATGTGCGTTTTTTCATGGGGAGATGTCTGTTCCTTGTCGCCACTAGTAGGTCGTCAGATAAGAGCGACTGGTGACGGAATGATTATGTACGACCTCGGGAAGGAGCGATAGTGAACGTGGGAAAAAGGGTGATATGGGGAAGTGGATGGAGAGGTGTGTTCAAGTGTGTCTGCTATATAGATAGATGGCTAGTAGGTGTAAAGTAAAGCCGGAGACATGGAAGAATGGGAAAAGGAATAGGAATTAGATGCAATAAATCAGATTAATATAATAATAATATTTATATAGTCCTATAAAATGTATTTACCAAGTACTACGAGTAGGTAGTACGTAGTCAAATGAGAGTAATCAGAGGGCGATGCAATCAAAATAGATACCTTGCTAGGCACGCAGACATTAGGGCCAGAATAAAACGTAAAATCAAAATGCAGCTTCGTTTGTCATCATTCCGAATGATACTACTAGACTACTAGGTACATATCTAGTAGGTACCGATATGTGACTACCTAGTAGCTACTTCTCAATCATAATACAAAAAAGGAATTCGAGCTGAACGGATCGAAAGTTCACTCATCTTTGCCTGAATATCAAGGCTTCCATTATTCTCACGTGTCTCTATATCATCACCCTCGTGTCTCTACTCCGTATATCATCACCCTCACGTGCCTCTATATCATAAAACCTGGGGTCAATCAACCAATCCACCCCTCGATCAATCCATGACGATGCCTTATCGATAACACTAAAACCTTTAAGGCTCAGAATTTACCATAGCTCATCGATCCATTCGGTCCCACCAATCCCATCAACCATACATATTTCCGTAGTTGCCTACCTAAACCCAGTACCAAACCCAGTACCTGATAAGTACCCAAGTACCTAGTACGGCTTCTGCTTCTGCTTTTGACTCTAACCACACCCGTATCAACCCCTCTTCTACTTCTCCCTCTCCCTCACACACACTCTCTCTCACACTTTCCATTCAACTTCAATATGTTCTTAAAGACCCTCGACTTTATTTAAGGAAAGAAAAACACACACACACATCAAACTCGGTCAAACATTCCACTTTCTTGAAAGATCCGACCTTCAATACAAACCAGACACATATTGAAACATTTGGCTGGCCATTTGCACTACGTCTACCAATATCAACCATTTCAATCTCACCTTCCGAGGGATCCACCGCCAACGAATACAGATAGCCTTGTCGTTGCGTTTCACCATCCTCAACCTGAATAACTTCGTACTATCAATTTCATATTTAATTTCCACAAATCCTAAACACTCGATCGCTTTCTTGACAGCTCGTACAGACTTTTCGAGGTCTTGACAGCTCAAAATCCACAGGATGTCTCATCAAGGTATGTCAAGTATGGATTTCATCTTGCTTATCCACTTTTGATCGTTCATCTATCCTTAAGGCTACAGCTATGGGTCATATCACTTCTCCCTCATTCCCTTAAATATCTGCCCGGTTTTATACTCAGCGAACTCTCGATATCATTTTATGCAGATTCCGTTTCACTATTCGTTCCTTTCGTGAACATTCATACTAAATCTCCATAGTGAACATTCACATACGCCACAAACCAGTCGAATCAGATGAGGACGTTCTATCTTGCGGCGAGAGATTAATCAATCTCGACCCGACACGAACAGTATTGCAAATAGGCAGAGCTTCAAAGAGTCCTAGCAAAGGTCTCTTGGGTGCTATTGATAATGCGTGGTTCGATAGCCCGGTAATGTCTCGAAATCATGCCGAAATTATCTACAACCCTGTGGACAATGTAAGAATACCATATGCTTATTGTTGGTTGGCTTGTATTGACTTCTTCTAGGTTGTCCAAATTCGAGACTTAGGTTCAATGCATGGTACTTTTTTGAACAAAGAAAAGTTGGGAGAAGAAGCCAAGCCTCTTAACTCAAATGATCAAATTGTCTTCGGTGTTGGTGTGAGACGTGGTGTGGATCTATTCCAACCATGTCATTTTGAGATCAACTATGAAGTAATTCCATGGAAGTGAGTATCACTTATGCCGTTTTCTGATAGCACGTACTAACCCTTCTATCGCAGGAGACCCAATAGCTACACTGTACCCGACTCCTCCGACGATGAAGACGATGAAGACGAAGGTTACCATTTCAATGATACAGAAATGTCCGAAGAAGCTTCCAGTCCGGGTGATACATCTATCGAAATGACTCGCTCCAGCCCTACATCTAAGACTGTTGATGCTATCGACCTGACTGTGAACGATACTTCCAGCCCTAGACTGAAGCCGACAAAGCCTTCCGATAGCAATGACGAAAGAATCGAGGAAGACGAGTACACTCCCAAGTCACCAGTCTTAGATAGCATCGTGAGAGATTCTCGCGATGCTGTAGGACCAAAGACAAATCCACCACAAGAAGCTGACCATCCTCGAAAGACGTCTCACACATACACTTTCAATTACGATAGCAATGACGACGAAGATGAAGATATGCTTTCGACACAATCTTATTCCGATGAGTCTGATATAGAAAACGCATCTGAATTGGAAGGTTTTAGGGATTTCGAAGATTTGCCTTCTCATAATGACGTTGATAGCGAAGATGAATCGATGTCTGACGCATCGGAGGAATCAGAGGTTCAAGTTCTGCTGACTGAAAGTCGTGAAGCACTCAATGAGATTCCATCTTCATGTCCTTCAGTGTACTCGGGCTCATCTCGTGCATCCTCTCCTGCTCCTCAGGCTACCCTCGTTCAGACGCTTTCACAGACTCGAACTCCATTTGACAATAATGCGGATATTCCTGAATCTCACGTTAGAACTCAGATTCATACCTCTGAAGAGGTTATCGCTCTAGATCAACAGAACAACGATGATGAAGATGAAGTCGATGATGACGATGATCGAAGTGTTGGACTTTCCGAAGCTGCTAATGAAGGTCTACAAACATTATACAAAGACGGTTTACTCAAGAAAGAACCAGGCACCAATCCCACCGGTCTCATCGGTAGCGGTGGATCTTACGATGAATTCTCCAAGTCCCATCTCGACAGCTACTATGCTACTTGTACTCCTACCTATGATGCTTCACCTTTCGGCTACTATAATCCTCATATAAACCGTGCTTCGATTTCTGCTCGTCAATGCGGAAATCCTCGCAACGACTATTATTCTCTCACGAAACCAAGATCACCATTTGCTTCTTATTACGGCCGAGAGGCTAGTCCTTCATCAGTAGCAATGGCTAGACCACCTTACCAGGAAAGTTACGCCGATCAAACTCCCGAAACCTTATCTGCCAGAAGTTTGGGTGATAAAACTGGCAAGCACGCCTTCTTTGAAGCCAGGGAAGAGAACAAGGTACAATTCCAAGCTCATGTTGATGATGAAGAGAGTCAAGTAAGCCAATTCTCACCATTATCAATGACAACGAGACCAAGCCGGGCTATCAAATTCACAAAGCCCTTGGCTAAATTCGTACAACCTATACTACCCATCAAATATCACGGCAATGGCATCGACCATGGTTTTGTAATTAACGATCGCCCGGTTTCTAATATTGAATCATCTAAAGATCGTCCTTCCATTCATCCATATTACTTCAGTTCAGACGCTTCATCAAGAGCTGTGGAGAGCCCAGTCCTAGAAAGACATCCAACTAGATCTGGCCTAAGTATTGACGACATCATTGACAGCTCTTCAGTTGGCAAGAAGAGAAAGGCTGATGAGATCTCCCATGATGAATTAATCAAAAACGAGGTTCGAGATTGGGTTTCTGGTGTCAACGACTCGACAAAGCCCCAAGCTGCTGTGGTTGCACAAGAAGAAATTCCTGGCCCTGAATCTTCAGCGCATACAACTCATACCATCCATCATGCCCAGAAGGTTCAATCAGATGTGCAACTACCCACAGCTGATGCTGCGATCCAACTTGCAGTCTTGACTACAACAACAAATGATCCTGAACATCGACCAGTCAAGAGACTCAAGATGAGGAAGTTTGTCGAGGCTGTAGGATACTTTGCACTCGGAGGAGCTGCTGTTGGTGCTGGTTTATTTTCGGCACTTGTAGCAACAGCTCCAGAATTCATTTAAGCTTAGAAAGGAATTACGATCCGAGCCGAATCACAATGATTGCTACTCTTACAACATGACAGCAATTTATCGAGAACTTGAAACGGATGGATAACGGAAATAGGAATAGGTATTGGGGAAATAGTGAAAGGGGGGATATTATATCATGGTATTGATGGAAAGAAGCACTGGGTGCATTTCTTATTCTACCGAAATTATGATTGGTTAATGTGTCTAGATATTGACAAAGGATATATGCCGCGTTTTGAACACTGCGTGGCTGGCGTTTGAGGGACTGACGTGCTGGCTGTCAATTTGTCTATGAGGATAGTGGAATGGATGGGTTGGGTTGCGATGGATAAACGATTTCTTTGGTTATTGTGGGATGGATAGGGGATTTTTCATATCACGACATACAATAGGTACTAAGACCTTTCTTCTCATTTGTTTTTTTGTTTATTAGCTTTGGTTTTTACAATGGTGCGGATGGATAGGGGGTAGTTGGGAGTTAGTTGGTGCAACTATCAACGGGGTAGTCCTGAAACATAAATATGCTGAGATAATAAAATATGAATAGGAAATACAAAAAAAAATAGAAAACTTGTAATTGAATAATAAAATGTAATCGTGGTGTATGGTCTTCAGTTGAGTATTTGGAGAGGTATATGATGAAGAATGTTTTGAATGTTTTATATATCATGGGATGGATATTGGATTCGATTTCGGAAGATCTCTGCCCACTTAGAAATTTGAAACTGTAAAATCAAGTTGTTAACTTGTAGGTAAGTACCTATCTAGAGGTGGTTAGAAGTTAGAAATTGGCTGGGTAGTATTGTATTATATTATATTGTATTATATTATATTATTGTATCGTTATATTATATTATTTCTTTCTTATCTAATAGTTGTAAATTATCTATATAAGGAATTAAGAATTGGGAATTAGGAATTGGGAATTGGGAATTGGGAATTGGGAATTGGGAATTGGGAATTGGGAATTGGGAATTGAAAATTGAGAATTGAAAATTGGGAATTGAAAATTGGGAATTGAAAATTGGGAATTGAAAATTGGGAATTGAAAATTGAAAATTGAAAATTAGGAATTGAAAATTAGGAATTGAAAATTGAAAATTGAAAATTGAAAATTGAAAATTAGGAATTGAAAATTGAAAATTGAAAATTAGGAATTGGAAATTAGGAATTGGAAATTAGGAATTGGAAATTAGAAAATTAAATAGAAGGTGAAGGAATTTTTTTAAAAGGGGTTTCTTAGGGGGGGGGGGGGGGGGGGGGGGGGGGGTGTATTTATTATGAGGGATGAAGGGAATGAGATGGGAAAGGGGGAGGGAGAGGGAGAGGGAGAGGGAGAGGGAAAGAATTAAGATTGTCGATTTTAAGATAGCTGTTAATTATATGAAAAAGGAAAACGAATTCTTAGGGGGTTTTTTGGAGGATAGGAAGAGGATGAGGGTATGTGTTAGAGGGGAATATATGAGTGCTGGGTGGAGAGGAATTAGGAGTTAGAAGCCGGGAGCTGGGAGCTGGGAGCTGGGAGCTGGGAGCTGGGAGCTGGGAGCTGGGAGCTGGGAGCTGGGAGCTGGGAGCTGGGAGCTGGGAGCTGGGAGCTGGGAGCTGGGAGCTGGGAGCTGGGAGCTGGGAGCTGGGAGCTGGGAGCTGGGAGCTGGGAGCTGGGAGCTGGGAGCTGGGAGCTGAATGATTGAATTGGTTGAATTGGTATTTTTTGTTATTGTTATTGTTAATGTATGGTAATGAATAAATGGATGGTAATGAATGAATGAATGGTATTATAGTATTATAGTATTATAGTATTATAGTATTATAGTATTATAGTATTATAGTATTATAGTATTATAGTATTATAGTATTATAGTATTATAGTATTATAGTATTATAGTATTATAGTATTATAGTATTATAGTATTATAGTATTAAAGAAGAGAGTAATATAATAGATATTTAGATGTATATATTAGGTATAGGTATAGATATTGATTTAGTAGTAAATCTTAATTATCAGTATAGAGAATTATAGTAGAAAGAAATAAGAGGGGATAATGTAATAAAGTGATAGAGAGAGAGAGAGAGAGAGAGAGAGAGAGAGAAAATATATACTAAACTAATCGAGATGGAGAGAAGAGAGGGTTTAAAGATATTTATTTAGTATATATGTATTGAAGATTAAAGTTGTAATTATTACGAGGATTTTTGTTTATGGTGTTTTATTGTATTTTATTATATTTTACTTTAGAGATTTTTTAGAGGTTAGGGTTAGGGTTTAGAGATTCGATTGTAAAAATGATTATAATATAGAGGAAAGTTAAAAGTTAGAGTGAGATATAGATGATGAGTTTATTAATTCTATTTCATTTTATTATATTATATTCTATATGTTTAACTAGATAGGTATCTATCTGAATTAACGAAAGAGAGAATAAATAATCATACGAAAATTAAGTTGACGAGTTATTATATCTAGCGCAGCTCTAGCTTAATATTCGAATTGTGATGATATGAGAGATTAGTGTTTTAGGTGTAGAGATAGAAAATGAGAATGAGAATGAGAATGAGAATGAGAATGAGAATGAGAATGAGAATGAGAATGAGAATGAGAATGAGAATGAGAATGAGAATGAGAATGAGAATGAGAATGAGAATGAAAGTATAAGAATAAATTAGATAGATGAATAAAAATGTATTTGGTACTTTAATCTGGTGGAGATGGAGATGGAGATGGAGATGATTAGTAGCTCGCTCGCTCGCTTATAAAAGGGGGTACTGGGCTGGGGTGGTGGAGTGGAGTGGGTCTGTGAGTTTTGTCTGATGATTTAGAAATGATAAACAATGAATAAGAGAGAAATAAACAGTAAGGAATAAATGATTATAATATTATATGATGATGATAATTGTATATAAAGATCAAGATGAATAATATAGATTATATTTTTTGAGAAATAGAAGGACTTATTTTCGTACAGGGGATATTCAAGAGTCAGAAGAGATATAATGTAATTAAGAATTATGTTTATGGTTTTGTGAATACAATTACATTAACTGTTTATACTTTTCGAGGAGGTTTTTATTAGTACATATATATCCGTATCAACAATTTAACTTGAAATTTAGTTTTAATTACTACTGAATAACTTATTTCATTTACAGAAAAGGGAAGTCTGATTTTTAGTTCAGTATTAAAGTCATATGCTTAGATTATTAAGACCTGTAACTTTATATATATATACTGATTTTGTTATTTCGTTTCATAGAGTTCATGTTTTTATATATTTGTTCTTGCTAATTTGTAATTAGAGGAGAAGGTATATAGAATTCCTGGTTTGGGGTTTAAAAGAGTATCTAGACGTGTTTTTCGAGTTTCGGCTACTTGATAAATCAGTTACTAACTTTTTTATTCTCGGGCTATAGCTAGAAGCTTGAAGGAGTGATGCGGACGTAAATCAGAGGTTGTGAAGTGAAAGGGATGGAGGAGAAAGGGAGATGTTTGGGGGAATATTGAATTTTTGTGGCTAGGCCAGTGAGCGAGTGTGATAAAGTCTCGGGAATATTTGAAACATTCAAATAATAATGGTTACTAATAACGATTAGACTTCTATTTCAGCAATGGACCTAAAGAATCAAGAAACTCCAGGCCCGCGAAGGAAAAGAGTAAGTCAAAGAAAGTTGCCGAGAGGGTTAAGATATTATTTTCTCTTCGTTGCGCTACCAGAAGTAGAAATGGAATTTATCGCCAAGGAGAAACGAGCCCGGAAAGAGGTATGATATGGTATCGTGGTATGTTCAACATCTTAGATGTCTAATGGCTATTTTAAGATAAGTATTGTTTTGAGAAATAAGCTCCAAAAGGACCTTCTGGCTAAAGAGTAAAAGGCTAAGATGAATGAGATGAAGCTAATGGAGGGATTTTGGTTATCTCTTGTTCGATATTCTATTGATGGATTGGATTTCAACTTATTTATAACAAGAGAGTCAGGATGAAGATCTACATGCTCTAGTGGTAATATATTTGTAGGTGGAGAATATGGTTCCTAAGAGAAGTTCGGTGATGACGATCTCACTGCGCTCAGTATCGTGTTATAGTGCTGATATTAGATATTTATTTATTATTACTCGAGCACGCTATTTGACAGCAGTGAATCGAGGAAACAGGATGAGAAAAGGAGAGAATTTGGAGCGTCAAGTAGTGATCTTCATTACGCTGTGTTAACACACTAACCATGCACATTAGTGTGATCTTTCATTAAATAGCATGCACGGAATAAACTGAACAACACTTCTCGGCTGTTGCGAAAAAATTTAGATTTTCATGATTGAAGTTCACAGTCAAAAATCTGACATCTGCCACTTCATGTGGAGCTGTCAGACTTGCCAGAAAGGCAGAAAGATAGTGCGAGAGATGATAAGAGTAATTCAACAACACTTATGGTGTGTTATGAATCATGAATGTGATAAAAGGATTCAGAAAAAGCATGATATCGAAAAGAGGTGTTGCAAGACAAGCTTGATTCATGATTTTGAATTCATGATGCGTATCTTTGAAGGTTTTTCTAAGACTCAACTAAAATTTAATTTACACTATTCGAGAGTGCTTTATGCACAGATATGTATAGAATGAATTCAATCATGATATTGAGAAGTTATAAAAGCCATTGATGGGAAAATTTTAAAATTTCCAATTTTTTCATCATACACCCGGTAACCCCCCATCGGATATTTCGTATCTACATTGCAACTTGTGCATATTCCAGTCTATCTACAAGCATCTAACCAGCCAATTATTACACAGTAATTTTCCACGATACCGCATCCAGCTTTATCTAGGAGGAGGGTCTAGGGGGGTCCAACACAGGGTGGTTTGTAGTGTCAATTCCCATGGTAATATACCCAATCATTCCCTTGGTGATATCTTCTCCATCAATTGGAACAATATCCATAACTGGATTGTATCCACGTGCGAATCCACCCGTGTAGTAATTATCCTCAGCATT